ACGGTGAAAATAATCCCGCCGTGAAGGGGTTAAGGTCATTTTCCCCTTATAATTATGTTTTCGATTGCATTAAACAGATCAAACTGATTTCTTTGTTTTGTTGTATCGCTGAGTTTTGCATCTTGACAAAATTGGATATCGTGTGAGAGACACGCTGCAGTTTCTAACCACTTGACCTTTGTGAGACTCTTTAAACAACTCCACAGTGGCTGTGGCGACTTGCGACTCATTTTGTCGGACCTGGTCACAAATTCACTCTCCTGAAGTACTGTCCCACACATGGGAGTGGGCCCCACAACAGTTTTGCCTAATGTTTGCGATATGCAGTTTAAGTTTCTATGCATCTACAAAATGAAGCAGCACAAACATGATGCAGAGAGATCCCCGATTTCAAAGAGTTATCACATGGGATATGTCACGGAGTGCAAAAATCTCAACCTTACCTCCCAGCGTTGTGTGACTGTCGTCTCTCCAATAAGATTGCCGAGCCCTAAGAAGCTACTACTGTAAGAGAAGGCAGAGTTTGTGCAGATCTTTAGTTTAATGATTCCGTCCACTGTCTCCAATCCTTCTCACATGAGTGCTTGCCGATGGCTTTTACAAATACAGCACTTAGTATTAGAGGCACGTGTAACTGTAAAGTTATCAATAATGCACATGTTTACACATGTGCAATAATTACGTTTATCCAAAGGAATAAACAAGCAAGTAAACATATTTTCCAAAATCTTCAACTAATTCATCACTGATTAATCTCATTTTCTCCCTCGGCTGCCAAAATTCACACCTACCCAAAACCTCATGTACATGTATGGTATGGGGGGCCCCAATTTCACAGCTGTGCCAGCTGTGGGTTTTTGCACTTACAAAAATCACTCATCAGAGGCAATTACCGCGTTGAGTGGACAATTTCTTAGGAAAGTACAGGACAAGTTTGTGATGATCAGAATGTGTCAAAATGATCAAAACCCTCCAGAGTTCCAACACACCCACAGTCTCCACAATGACAAAGTATGGGTGTGCTTACACAAGTGCTAATGCAAGTTCTACGCTAACCCAGCACTCACACTGCAAGGGTAGAATCTTTTTTTTTTACCATCACGCGCTCACTGTGCAATAGCTGAAATTTCTCACTAATCCATGAAATTAACTGGGCTTCCGGGAAGAACAGTGCTCCAAATGCCAATGGGGGCTACCCGTCAGATTTATCCAATTAAACTGTTGGGGCAGAATTGTGCCTTTACTTTGTCTCGAGGAAACTTCTATTACCGCTGAGAAATGGGGCCCTGCTCTGAACTCATTTCCAGCCAGCTGTGACAAGCACGTCAGGTTTTTGGGAAGCAACATTTGGCAGCCTTACCCTCCCTCCACTTGGACGTTCCGCTTCTGTCCCGCCACTGACGTGGTGTCATCCGTCAGCCTGGTTGCCTCGGCGACAAACCTGGCATAGACTTTGTTTTTGACTTTGCGGGGGAAGGCTAGGAGGTAATTTCGGCCGTCCGCAGAGAAGACCTCAATGGCGCACGGCTGAGGGAACAAAGTCAAACCAACGAACATAAAACAGTTTACGTCTGAATATCATGGTTTGCTTTCAGATGCCAACTGCACGCTCTGTCGACGGGGTAAGTACCCTTTCTAGACTGAAAGCTGGCCAACTGGTTCAATTGATTTGTCTTTCTGATTTTTTTAACACAATCGATTCACGCCACATGATATCTATTCGCTGTGTGGTAACATGAAGGACATTTTGACAAGTTCTGGCAAAGTTTGTGCGTTGTGCCAATTAACGTCTACATATCCTCACACTTTAGTGATTTCAATTAAGTTCACAGACACATTAAGGGTGGAATAGTCCAAGGAGGTTGAACGTGTGTGTCACCCTCAAACAGCTGTGGGCCACAGTCAGAAGTTGGAGTAAACATCACTCCTTAACCTAGTCTCGGAATTTCAAAAAAGCGACAATGCTGTAAGAAATATTGCACAAATCTCGAACAAATGACTACTAAGGGTCAGAATTTATAGCATCCAAATTTGTAAGTATTTCACGGCCGAAAACAATGCTGCGCCAGGGACAAACACAAGATGGAACAATGCCATCGGTGAGTGGTCAGGGACCAACCCGAGAAGTCCTAACCTGTTTACAAGACAGATGACAAGCACTACAAGTTGAAAAACATGCAAACTTTATTCAAGCCTAAAAGGCTTAATGATTTACTTTTCAAATTGACAGCAGTTAGGTTTTCTGAGCAATTCATTTCCACAGTCTGAGTGATCCCATAGAAACAAGTACTTGGATAACTGTAACCGAAAGGAATGATTGTCAAAGGTATCCTGGAAACCACTTTTGCGACAAGTTCTCTTGCCTCGCAGAACAGCGCGGTCCACAGCTTTTCAAAAACCAGCAACCTGTTTCCAACCTAGCCCATTTTCACTAATCAGACAATCGACGTGCAACAAAGAATATACCACAACTGCTGACGTGAGATGTCAACGCTCACGAACCTCGCTTCAGCTCCACAGAGAACCTGAGGCAACCTTACAGAACTGGATGGGCTACAACTACTCAGAGAGTCATCCTTTAAATGATCCTCAAGCTACTTTAATCAGTCAGCAGGGAACACTCGCTTACCTGCAGAAGGTATCGCCTCTTGTGAACCTCCCGGATGTCCTCGTAGGCAAACTTGCTGCTGGTCCGCTTCTGGTGGGTTCGCTGACCTCGCGAGGCTCTCGGAATAATCGGATCTTGGTGTCTGAATGGAAGCGAGAACAAAAATGGGAAGACACTGTAAGAAACTAGACAAAGAGAGCAGGAATGGTGAATAGCTCAATAGACTGGGTCAGCTTCCAACACTTTCTTTTCAATCTGGAAGCTCGGAAGGCTGACAAAAATAAGAAGTAGAATGCAAGACTTCGTACGGGTTGAAAACAGGTCAAAAATGCCTTATCTCTACAAAGAGGTACCCTGGAAAAGGAGGACAAATTAATCGTACTGTGCGGGGACGGCGTCAATGTCGCAGATCTCTCGAGAGCTCAGCAGCGTGAATCCATCCACCACGTAGAAGTGATCCTTGCAGAAGAGAAGTAGCCCCTCGCTGGTGTCGAGTCCCTGGATGCGGGCACACCGAAACATGTGGCGAATCTGAATCAAACAAAAATAGAAATGCCTTCCGTGGTTACCTTGAATTTGTGAACCCGACCTGATCAAACAAGTCCCAAGTCACCGGAGCCACTCTTGAGTCAAGGGCCTTTAACAGCATTTTGTGCAGTGTCAAGCAGTAGGAACCCCTCGCACTTTTTTGGCATCATATTGGAATCACGATGCCAAACAGGCCAACATCAACACAAAAGGAGAGAGGTTCTCTTTCCAATGAAAACTTCAGCGCAGGGGTCACATATCCAGTAGGTGTTAACATGTGCATGCTCTAAAGAGCCCCAAGACAAAGAACACTTGTCAACCACAAACTCCAGAGCACCAGAAAGCTTCCGTATTAGTTCCAACGTTCAAAGAATGGAAGTTCATGACGCACTATTCAACTCGAACTTTGCCTTCCATGAAAAACTGTGTATTTTTTGTTCACATATCTGCGTACCTTTTCTCCTTCCTCCATGAGTCGCAGTATCATCTGATTGTCCGTCTTCGGTTCCTCTGGCTTGTCCACTGGCGTTTCAATATCCGGAGTCTCGCTATCCTCCCAGTCTTTATCCTGCCTGGAATTACCTTGCTTGGTCACAAGGGAGGACGGACACAGACCTACACAGGGTCATACAAATAAAGAGAAGTGAATAAAACCCAAGAGACAATTTAAGTAGTAAGACATTTCCCAGCTTTTTTTTTCTCAAACAGAGAGAGGAAAACGGAACCTTCTTACCTTCTCTGGTGCCTGCTTCTTCCTCCACTCCTTCCATCGATATGTCAGTGTCTATCACTGGTTCTGTCACTGGCCCATCCCCTCGATCCAGCAGACTCTGCCCTCTTTGTCGCAGCCAGAACCTCCGGCTATCAAAACTGATGGGCTTGCGGCCTTTTGACGGCTTCTTGGAGATGGAGGAAAAAGACAAAAGCATGTTATTCCACCATGTTTTTGACCAATCTTTAGCTGTCAAGAAGAGTCACCTTATTAACTCTTTTCCCAGCACATTAACAATTTCTAACTTACAAAAGCAAAAATTCCTTTTACCACTTACTTCTTTGTCCGGTAAATATATGTGATACTTAATGTCACTTCTTTATTTTACAATGTTTAAATCCTAAAATCTTGCTCACATCAACACTGTTGCAAGCATGAGTCCAAGTGGAACATTTGGAATTGGATTTACTCTTTTGGGAAGATAGCATTCACTGGGACACATGAGTCTATCACAAGTTACCCAGACTCAAATCCCAAATCTTGCGCTGCTCAAATGAGCTGTGACCAAAGATATTCCTTTGTCTATGTTCATTCCTGTCACTTGTGAGTTACTACATTTATGATCCGACTTGGATATAACTCAAATACTACTTAATAAATTCTCCCATGATGGCAAAGTGCAAAAGGTTAGGATGTAACTATACAATGACAAGTCTCCATGACAAACTTCCAATCTGATTCAGCAACCACTTTAGTGGGACTTACATTTTCCAGCGTGTCAAAATCTTGCCGATGCGGGTAGTTAACGTAAAACATGTCATTGCGGAGCATCTTTTTCCTCATCCTGCAGGGCCCCTCCGTCATGTCCAGGATCCACTTGTCAAGCTCCGAGCTGCACGGGGGACCCCACAGACCCCGCTCACGGGTCAGCTCCATCTCCATCTGGGACCACTCCTCCTCGATGTATCGCTGCAGATGCTGTTGGCTCTGTGCAAGAGACAGGGAAACAGGTTGCTGAAATCCGTACTAATACGGAAGTCAGAGTCTAAAATTGTGAAGCTCAATCCTGAAGCTAAAACCACAAAGCCAACATGTGATAAACTGCCCACCGATCTGCATGCTGGCTCTGTAGACTGATTACAGAATATCCTGCCCAGTATACCAATCCCTGCCTGAAATATCCCACTCCTGACACCGTATCTCACCACCTACACCCCTAAGACACTCTTGAACTAGTTTTCCCACTGGATTTCGTTACTCACCTCTTGGTGTTGGTTAAACTGCAGTTCCACCAGATCTCTGGCGATGGAGATGTGCGTGAATGTCCACATACTAGCCTCCTGGATTGATGGCAGGTTGGATCTGAAGGATGCGCTTTCTCTTTTGCTCTTTCGACTTGATGACAGGAGCTGGAAGCTGTTGCTTACTTTACTTGATAACCGCTAAAAAAAGTTTCACAGGAATGCAAATAAAACATCTGTTATAAGTGCTCCAAAAGACCAGAGAAGTTTGAGATTTTCCTTAGGGAAGGAGATGGGATGAATAGAAGTGAAAAAAAAAAGAGGCAATCAAGACTTACTGATGACAGCTGCTGCTCACGCACTGTGTTCCGTTTCTCTGCTGTGATGTAACTGTTCCACACCTTGGAAGCAGCTTCACCCATGGAAGATCTAGGGGGAAAAACATACAGTTCAGAGACCTTTCCCGATCATTGAGCCAAATGACATCTTACAGGTATTCTCACACTCAATGACAATCCACAACACTCTCAAAAGTACAACATGCATAATACAGGCTTCCATGTGAGTGAAAAGTGAAAAGCAATTAGAGGGTTCTCATTTGCGGAAACACTTCTTTGACCAGAAATTCAATATCCGTTCCTCTGACGTACCTTGCGATTTTAAGATCTACTGATACAGCACCCTTAGTTCCCGCATTGCTGAAAAGATTAAAAAATACATAATTATTTAAAAAATGGAACTACAAAATATGGAAAGTCGAGTCATATAGTCATTGACATGAGGAAAAAACTGAAGGGTAGACTTACGAATTTGGTAATGTGACTTTGAAGATCTCCTCAATAAACTGCAAAGGAAAAAGACAATGGAACCAATTTTGGAAGCTGAAGGCATGACACGTACAATGGCCAATAGATACTCTTGTCCAATGAGCAACCAAATATGGAACTAAAATTCAATAAGAGTACTCGCGACCATCAGAATTCCCTGCAAGTCCATCACAAAAGCATTCCTTGCTGTTAAAGGACTCGAGGACTGGGCTTGTGACAGCTCTCACAACCTTAATAGGAATTACGGTGTACAGACTGCACACTTTATTTTCGACGAAATGGAATCGATTTGGCCTTCTTTGCATGTTGTCACACTCTGGCCCAACAGAGTCTCCCAAGCTGGCGCAAAGATGGAAACAGCACCCAACTTTGACCCAACCTGACTGAAGCTGGTACAAAATCCGGAGTCCCATTTTCGTGACGTAGGTTTAACTTTGGTCCAAGTTTTACACAACTAACACTCTCAACCGTAAAATCAATGGGATCCCACTGACCTGTTTCTTGCTGGCAATGAGTTCGTCCCAGACACGACGAGAGGCCTTGCGGACCAGCAGCTGCCCCTCCTGAGCGTGGGAGCTCTCGTGCTCTGGACACTCACTCTCCGAGTGAGTGCCTGGGTACATGGGGTCAACATGCCACTGAGTGGTCCGATTCACCTCCGTAGACTGGCAGTGTAAGCACATTCCACCAGCACTGCATAAAAAAAAACCGAGTTTTTTACCCAATCTATTCAAAATGTTTTTATCTTGTTCGTCACCTACTACACCATCAGAGGCAAGTTTTCACAACCCTGACGAGAAACATATTTCTGCTCTGGTAATTGGTTCAGCGTTTGCAAATTTGGTGATACCTGCGTGACATCGCTGTTTTCCAAAAAAATGAGAACCAAAGATGGAGTTGGTTCACTGCCGATTCACAATGGTGGAAAATGAGCAGACAATTTGTTGATGTCTCTCACGTAAGTGCAGTAAGTATTCCCGAATTCGTTGCTATATGCAGTAAACCAAACAGGTACTTTTGTCTAGAATTTGAAAAGAGAGAGCAGCAGTGGCAACAAAAACACTAAATAATCTTTCCCCTGAGGTCCAGTTCTCATCAAACGAATTGATCGCAACTTCAACTAAAAAAAAATACTTTCTAAGTTTGAACCTGTTTAGATCTTCAGGATACTGAGCTATGCAGGACCTGTTTAAAGCGGTGACAACACCAGCATTGTTCCAATTCTCAGAAACACCAATCATTGCTCCATCAAAAAAGGGATTAGGCTTCAAAGTGAATCAGAGCAGCACAGAAGTGCTTCAACCGGAGAAGCATGGCTCGCGCTAAAAAAAAATGGTCTGGACCCCTCGACGCCATGAGCTGCTTCATACAAATCCTCACTTCAACTCCCTAGGGGCAAGACCACGGATGGCCGTACCTGAGATCATCTGTCAAGCTGAAGAGCAGGTGGCAGAGACACATGACAAACTCCTGCTCGGAGTTGCTAGGCCCAAAGAGCATGGTGCGGTTCTCGGTGATCTGGTGCAAGGACTCCAGTAGCGAGTACTGATCTAAAGCAGAGAGTCAAGACAAACACGGGTTTTATCTCTCATCGGCACACATGCCGTAAAGAGCAATACCTTGCACCTCCCCTTTATCATTTCCTTGACCCTAACCCCCTGGGGACCATTGAAATTCTATACAGCTACTTATGCCCTTAACCCTGAACACTCCCGAATCCTCCGATTTCAATACGATTTTACATACACCCTAGGGAGTTAGGGTTAACACTGTTCTATGACAACTCTCGTTTCATGAAAGTAAACAGTATGAATCACACAAAAACTTTACACCTACTGTAAATACAAAGTCAACGTGCTTGACATAGCCTACATGTTTAAATATCACATACACGTGTACTGAAAGTAATCGTTGAGCTTAGGATATATGGGGGAAAATTCTGACGTTTTGTTGGTTTTCTTGAACCAAACAGATGCCCGTTAATCTAGCTTAACGGTCAGCAAGGAGGTGCAAGGAGTTTCAACCTTAAAGGTCATTTCATTTTCATTTCAACTATACATTCATTTCCTGAGACTAGTCAAAGGTTGCCATGTCAACAGAAGACTGAATGCTGAGGTTCTAAAGCCATTTTAGTTTCAGTTTCAATAATCCAACAAAAATCTTTTGAGAAGTCCTCTCAAGCACCACAACCAAGCTAATTTGAGGCTTTAGGGAGGAGAACTAGCCTTTCTCAGCTTCCTCTCCAATACATTTGAAACCTCAATGAACCTAACAGAATCCTGTCTGAGGTTACACGATCAAACTTTTAGAACCACATGACTCCTCGTCAAATCAAACTTGAAGTTCCAGAGACAGAAACTCGGTAATGCCCTTCCAGCACTCTTGCTGCAATGCCCTACGTTTCCCCCGAGATCGCCACTGACCTGTTACAGTGTTGTGAGGTCTAGACAGCTGGTACAGTACCGTTCTGTTCAGACAGTGATAGATGGTGTCCCATGGAATGCCATGTGAGCCTACATGCGACAAAACAAAAACCAAAAGATTGTTCCGCTATTGACCATGAAGATGATACAAAAAAACCAAAATGACCAAATGTTTTAAATTCCAATTGTCTGGTGCAGCATGGAAAATGAACCAATATATGACCATTTTACGTTTCAAATGGAAACTCTGTCAAGACAGAGGATTAACAATGTTGGCAGTGAAGAGGCATGATGCAAATGTCTGCCAGATGTTACTACAGACCACTCTAACAAAGCAGGAATCAATATCTTGCACGCACAACTTTTTGGGGCTTTATTCCAATTATTCTCCCATCGTTCTTCAGCGTAATGCAGTACTTTTTCTTTCACAGTTTTTGGTTTTCACTGTGGCTTTTCTAGGTTATTCGCTTTTCGAAAAAGTGAACATTGAGGCTTAGCGTTAATCCATGAAATCCACAGCTGTGTTGCCATCTGAGCAAGCTGCATGTGAGCAAAGTTATGATTACGAAGTAACGACACGCTTCATTTCTCAACAAACAGATCCAGCTCTACCTCTCCTTTTTGCTTGGTTGATCAGCTGAGCCACAAAATCAAACACCTCCTTCGATTTGTGGTTGAAAACACCTGCGCAAAGAGGACACAATTGCCATGATTTATAGTAGGTTTGGAGTGAAAATATACAATAAAACTTATAAAGTGTGATGTGGTGCTGGCTATGGCCAACCTAATTTCCTGAAACAAAAGGAAACTTCGTGTTTACCCATCCATCAAATTTGAAACTTTCTAAAGCTGTCCCATTTGCTTGGTCTGTGTCTCTGCTTTGGACAGTTGGTACATATAAATGGCGAAATTCTGCCATCAACAGTTTCTGTGACACATGCCAAGTACAGCATCATCCTGAGAAGAAAGTGATTTGTTAGTGTAAAAGCGAACGTCAGTTTCATTGAAAGTCATGGAAAGAACCTCCGGATTCTGTAGCATGATACGACTGAGTGAAATGGTAGTTCATCTCAGGCTGTTTCCTGGCTAATGCCAAAATCTATTTATACTCCGAGACGGAGACTGGCAAGTTGAGGTAAAGTGACTTGCCCAAGGACATAACCCACAGAGAGCAGCTTGATTTGAACCCTGGACCCTCTGATCAAGAGTCAGGAACCCAAGTCACTAGGCCATACCTCCCCCCCCACTAACACCCATTCTGAAAGGTGGCCTCTCACCCTGCCAGAGTTTATCCACGACCCGGGAACTCAGGTAGAAGACATTGTTGATGAGGTTGCCGAAGCTCCCTCCGGCAGCGATGGGGAGAGCGCCCTCCTTCTCCAGCAGGACATCGCCAGCCACCACCCGGTCCATTAGGCTGGCCAGGACCTCTGTCTGAAATTCGTTGGTCTGCGCCGCTGAGGCTCGGACGGGGGATGCCTGGAAATGACAGGAGTTGAGGATTGTTGAAAATTTTATTAATTCCTTCATCTTATTTGGGGGCAAATCATCGTTTCCGCATCTGTAATAATGAAATGAGGTGAAGTTGGGCTAAAAGCATATAAATGCACTTGAGGAAGCTGCTAATTGATATCTGTCTGACCACACTGCACAGCAAGAGATTTGAAGTAATGATTTTTACAGAGGGTCAAAAACTACAGCACCCGGAGAAAAACCCTGAAAGTACAGAAGAGAACCAATGAACAACTCTACTCTCATATGGCCCGGACTGGGAATTGAACCCAGAATTGCAGCGGTGAAAGGTGGGCACTTTTGACACTAGCCATCTAGACAAACATGGTCGATGTTAGACATCGGTTGGTTAAGTTTCGTCCAGGGACAGATTTCTCAAGTACACTGGCTTCCCGAGCACAAACGTGTGGTAAAGCAACATTGGGCCTGGAGCAACGCCCTGCCTAGGACAAGTTAGTTGTGAAATAATACCACTGGCAAAAAGTTAAGGACCCCCTACCTCTAGAAGTAGATCCAAGACTGGGGCTGATTTGCTGGGGGCTGGAAGCGACAGGCTGTCCATGACAATGACCCGCAGGAAGTCCATCACGTAGCGTCTCGCTGCATGATTGGCCAGGTTGCCTGAAGGAAGAAAAAACCAAGCAGTAGACTGCAAAGATATTGCGTCCCATGAATAGTTATGGTACGGTAGAATGCACCTCTTCCATTGGTCAGTGCCCAACTGTGCCAGGGAGGTAAAAATGACTACCTGCCTATGCTACTGCTGAATTTCTTGGCTACTGCTGTCAGGAACATACATATCTATGGGAAGTGGATGCAGCCATTAGCTTGTGGCTTCCATAGGTGTACATGTCATCCTAGCCGTAGCCCCATAAAAAATCCAGGCATGGCTCAACTCTTCCCCATGGCTGGTTCCTTGACTCTCAACCATGTCACGGCAGTGACTGCCTGTTAGTTCAATAATTGCACCATGCTAAAAGCCCTCTTCAATGGGCCAATAACATTGCTTGGTGTGCATTATAAATGAATTATTAACTTATGTGCACACTCCATGGCAATCTGTGGAGAAGCTCACTGAATTTTCAAGCTTAACTTGTCACGTTTCGAATTCTGTCCAATTTATCATCACACGATACCAGCGCTAACCAACTGCATCAATGAGGAGTTCTTACCCACGGGCCAGTACATGAACCCTGCTGACTTCAGTGAATAAAAAAAAAAATGAAACTAAGGCCGTGTCCGAAATGGGCTTCCAGAGCTAAAGCTAGGTCTATTGTCTACGCGTCTCCAGGCATTTCCAATGGAGCGAAGACCTAGACCTAGCTCTAAACAAGAGATTTGGATGCGGCCTCAGTTTTACAAGGAGAATTTTTATGAAGCATGAGAACACCCAGAATTTGGAGAGGAATTTTTAAAAACTTTTTTTGCTCTTACCGGATTGAGTAGGATATCGGTCTGGGCTCTTGATTCCGAACACAGGTATGCCCAGCCCAGGGAGGTACTAATATGACAGAGAAAAACACAACAAATGATGGCAGGAAGAGAGAATTACAAAGGTTTGGGAGAACAGAGAAAACATTTGAAATACGTAGAAACCACGAGCAAAAATCAGGGGTGAGATTGACCAATGATAAAAATAGCTGAAAACAGTTGAAAAATGGCATAAAGCTGAACTGTGAAAATCTCCTACACTTTTGTACACAGCCAGTGAGGAAAAAAAAGCTGAAATCCAAAACAAACGAAGCTGAAATTAGCTAAAAAGCTGAGAAATCTCACCCCTGCAAAATGTGGACGGATATTTCTACTGCAGGACACGCTTTGGGGTAAAACCTCACTGTGAACAGAATAAAAAGTGAACCCGAGAAATCTGACAGAGCTAAACGTTTCTAACTTACTTTGATCTCATCGGACGGAGAGGATAATTCACTGCTCTCTTCGCTTGGCTACATATGAAAACAAAAACAACTCGGTTTCAAACATCAGAACATTAATGGCTTGAAACAGTAAATTTACATATAACAGCAACAACTTCGAAACGCTGTTGGTAAAGAATGTTAGGGGGAAAAAAACCAATATCACATGTATTAGTATCAGTAGAATGGAGAGTAATATGGAATGAGATGTCTGCATGCTCTGTTTACAAAGCAAGCACAGCTGGGTAATTCCAGAAATTAAGGGTCCAAAAGTGTGACATTTTCGTGTCCCTGTTAATCTGACCTTTGTTATATGACATGGAAATATCACCAGCATTGATTTCAAACTATTACTATTTGTTTGGCAGGTAATTTGCATTAATTCATCACTCTCGGAAATTAAAAAATGTGTTGTGAACTTACATAATTATATGTCAGATGTGACAGGGACACCAAAAAAATGGACCCCTGATTTCTGGAATTACCCAGCTACGAAGAACAAAAACGAGAACAAACACTGTAGATTGCAACTCAACTAATATCCAAGGTACTGAACATGATACATGGAGACAAGGACATAAGTAAATGCAAACAGAATCATAACGCAATTGATATGTGATTAACCCTAACCCCCCATGGGTTGCTGGCTGTAACCTTCCCCATTCACACAAAAATAAACACCCATAGGGGACTTTGTGCACAGAGGCTGGACTTTGTTCTTCTGAGGTGTGCCAAACCCAATGCAAAAGCCAGCTGTTATGGGCCTACCAGACCTATCCCCACAGAATTAAACACTTTAGAACTGTTTAATTCTGTGTGGTTGGGGAAGGTTAGGGTTAATGTCAAGCCTGTGTGCTGCTACATTGAACACTCTTAGCAATGGACACCAATTTTTTTTTATATTTTTACTTGTAAAAACCACATTCTTCGTAAAGTTGGCTTGATATTAAATGCAGCATCCAAGAATCCATAAACAGCAAAGGATGCGAAATATTTTAGTTTCCATTAGGAACCCTTTTAAAAAAAAAAAGATCAAGTACGACTTACTATGCTTGTGAAGTGAAGGAAAAGAACACTACGCCAATCTAACCACCCATGCTCTGTGTAGTAACTTTGACCTTATATGCCTCCCAGAGTTGCTTTCTGTTCCTCACCAAGGTTTTTCCCTTTTCTTCAAGAAGCTACAGAGTAGCACACAGATGCACAAGCATACACACTGTGGCCTCTCAACCCTGGTTGAACCCACGACTGCCCTGGGTTGAAAATTTGCCCCGCGTTCAACCTGGCATTGTTTCAAACTTGTTTTGTGCAAATCGAACTTATCGGAGCTAGTTCAACCCGGAAATGAGTGCGAAAAAGTTTCAACCCAGGTTGAAAAATCTCAACCCTGATTGAGTTCAATAGAGGTTGAAATCAACCTTGTGGTTGACTTCGGGGTTGAAGATTTCCAAGTGTGACTCACCGCCAGTTTTCAACCTTACATCAACCCTGAGATTTGTCTAGTGGGAAAAGGCCAAGCGTAACCAACCATTTCAAAACCTTGCCCATGACACGGATAGCTGTGGTGAACTTAAATCTGGCTCATTAGTGTAACATTACCTAAGCTTAAACCGTGCCTACTACACACAAACTGTAGCATTGAAACCACCGCAATTGGAAGCTAACGCAGCTTGTGTGTTCATCCAATGGGAGCTTGTAATCAGTAGTGCATACGTGCACTTTACAAGTCACTAACGAACTGGACTATTAACCTTCACATCCTCACACCAATATCACTATCCATGACTTCCCTCTGTTTGCCTGTCTGTTTCTGCTGAAACCTCCACCACCATAGCCCTGACCTCATGAGCCACAAAAGTTTCAAAAATCTTACTTTTGGCTAGGGATCAACCGATGTACATTTTAACTGCCAATCCGATGTCCGATGTTTAATCAGAACATCGGCCGATGTCCGATCCGATCCGATGTTTTTACCGACAAAAACTGAAACGTAACCTTAACCCCTTCGCGCCGGTAATTCTTTTGACCATGACTGCTGGGCTGTGGTA